GTTTGCTGAAAACATCGATAACCATGAGCAGATATATGTATCTTTTATTCCATTTACTGAATTGCGGCATGTCAACTAAATCTGGTGCCCAAATTTCATCAATACTGTTGACAATAACGCACCACGGAGTGAATTCTCTTTTGATTGGTTTGCCCAATTCATCAGCTAGTTTCTCCTACCAGTTTCCTTTTTTGAACCATCGATACCAAGTTTCTGTTTTGTATTTATCATGTTACGGGCCAAACACTGTCCCCATTGTCTTTCATTATAGGATACACCATCAAAAGCTTTAACCATTTTACGATCTGGTTCATTCTTGCACTTTTTGTTATGTTTACGCATAGAATAATCAAGATCATGCTGCATTGCAATGGCATCTGTTTTTCCGGTTGGTTTGTCATATATCTCAAGTATTTTGCCAGTATCTTTGTCATATTTCAATTGATTGTCAAGTGGATTGTAGGGTCCAGTGTATTTGTGTCCAGGAAGAGTGAAAACTGACTCCGGTTTTGGTAATTTTGCGACTGCTTTATAAATATCACGACTACCTCCAAATAGACCAAATTTGGCTCTTCTTGCATAACCTTTTTCTTGAGCCGAGGAACCGAAGCTTTTGGTTCCACCATTTGTTTTGTATTTTTCATAATCTCTTTTATATCCAGCCACTGGATAATATTATATAATTATCTTGCTGTTGACTTTGTCAATATGAGTTAAAGTTGGTATGATATTGCACAAATTTACAATAATAATACATTGAAATACAAAGATTATTCTGGAACCAATTGGACAATGATAACAATACCCGATGGGAACTACTCTTATGAAGATATTGAGAGTTTCATGCAACAGTCACTTGAAAAAAGTAGTCATTCAAAACCTGGTGTCGAATTAAAATTAGTTTCTTCAATTTTTAAAGTATTGATAACACTTGAAGCGATGAAGCAGGTGTCCAGATTACAAATAAAAATTTTCGCCAAGTCAAAACAGAGACATATGAGATGAAACTTCATCTCGATTCAAGCAAAGGGTATTACAGCAGTCGTGTAGGTTTGAATATGTACCCTCCTACAACCGGTGAATACAAAGTCGTTTTTGAACTGTATTTTCCTTCAGTATCAATTAACCGTTCAACAGCCCAAATATCAGCCATCAGCAATACTGAGACAGTTACAAGAATATCAACTAATACGCTCAGTAATCACAGCCGAAGTATAACTCATCTTCATAAATATAATAATGTGACTCCAAATTATCTATTGAAAAATTTTCTTATCTAAAAAATGATATGGCAATATTTCATGGACAGAGAGAAGGAAATGTTGTTGATATCAAAAAGACAATTTCTAACGACGACAACATGATAAAAACGTAGGCAGGACAAATACATTTGATTTTGTTATGAGTACCATCAATAATTTCATTGGTGATCGTAATGGCACACTTGTCGCTTTTGTTGATAAAGACTTTCATAACATCGAAAAATTAACTTGTGAAAATCTTGGTAACTAAGCTCACTCAGCTACTTTTCTCCGCAAATTTAACGATGTTTCCGAGATCTCATCTCACCGGCGGTGTGATGAGATTGTAGAAACAAAGCAAGTTTTGTTGACCCCTAAGAGTGACTAGTATGAAATTTCTCCTTACATTACAACCGCAGAAACACACATTTAGGTCATGAAAATAAAACAAATGATCACCAATTAAAGAGGCTATTGATTGATAAACAATTTCTCCTTGTCAGCACCTTAGGATATGTATAGAGAACAGTGTGGAGAATATGCATAATGATATTAGGGTGTAAAGGGTAAAGTTTATTGTTACTAAACTCAGATAGTACTTATTTAGACTGCATAGTCAGATAACGCTGACATCAACAGATTATATGGTAGTTACGGCTCTTTGATATTCGCAAAGATAATTAATCCTTAGCGGTCATGGTATGAAATTAGCATGCAATGGCTGCTGTAAAGCAAGAAACAAAAAAACTTTCGCGAGGTTATATTTTTGATAAAGCAAAGTGGCAACTCGAATGCGTGCTACTGCAGCGCAAGTGCAGAGTAATACGATTGCTAAGGAATAGCTGATAAGTGACGAACATGGGAAATTATACAGCTATTGATTGGCGCTGGGAAACATTGAATGGGTGAAATTGGGAAAAAGAGAGAGAAAGAACAAAGCAGTAAGTAAGCGCGGGAAAATGTGGGGGTGCTTAAAAGCGCGGGAAAAGTCCAGCAACGGGAAATTTGCCAAGGTGGAACTACTCGTTGGATCTGGCGAGCAATGTGCGCGTGCGAACATCAATCAGTCGTTGAAAACTGAGACCGAAGGTTATCTTAATACGGTTCAATTAAACACAATGAAAATAAACTAGTGGTAAACTTAGTTTTATTTACATTCAAAAGATTACAGTTGATTTCTGACAGCCACAGTTATGATCAGATGTAAACTTAATGTTCAAATAAGTTTTAAATTATCTTTGACCATTTCTTTGTATAACCCGATATCGACCTAAGGTTCCGACGTGCTTGATCAATCAAGAACAAGTGAGGTCGAAATTTCATTCAGAGGCCTTGTTAAAGGCTTCCATCCTGGATGACATAACCACACCTCTGTCAAAAGAATCAACTGTCCGACAAAGTGTTTCTATACAAACTGTAGTTTTTTTCATGGTAAGTTTAACATATGTTAAATATCGGGGCTAGGTAAGACTGAAAGCAAATCTCAAACCTTCTTATCTTTCAGTCTGTAGCAAGCTCTCAGCCAGTCTGGAACCGCCTACGAGAAACGGCACTCAGTTGTTTTCCTGAGAACCACAACTGCCGTTTGTGGTTTGCTCGCCCTTTCGCATGTCTTTACTGTCTTGAAGACTGGAACTGACTTTTTCTCATGTCTCTATCCACCTCTAACCACCCTTCTACATACATACTACATACTGTTTTTTAATATTCCCTGACATTAGAATAAAAACGTTTAAAGATTTTAGCTACACCTCTAACTGGTTAAAATCTACAAGACTAGTCGAGCCTAATGATTAAATAAGATTAAAAAAAGAAGCTGAACCTTGGGCGACATGTGTTGATATTGGGGTTGCATGATTATATTCTTGTTATTTCCTTTTTATTTTTTTTTGTTATGGTAAAGCATAGTATGAATTGAGAAAGAAGGAAAATGAAATGCAACCACGGCTTTGTACTATGAGGGGTGATCACCGCCAATATTTTCTTTCAAATTCTACTATAAAGAACCAACAATTTCCATTTCTTCTCATCAGAACTGAAACTAAACCGGCAGAAGAGAATTTAAGAATTAAGAACACAACGCAAAGGAATTTAGTTGACGCTGAAAGTCACTGATCAGAACCACAACTGAACCAAGAGAACAACATTTGAATTATAAGAACACTTCTCTCTTTTTGTGTCGCCACAAACCAGAAGGGATTTTTGGCTAGACTACCCGTTTTTGGATAATTCAGCATGTCTGTATATCACCAGAATGCCAAATTTATTCTTCAATCTTTACGGAACAACCAAACTTTTTTTAAAACTGATGTGTCCTAAACCCCCTTTCATGGGCAAAAAAATGAAAGAAAACCCGGGTTGAAGAGAATTTAAGAATTAAGAACACAACTCAGAGAAATTTAATCCACTGATCAGAACCAAAATTGGACCGAGAGAACAACATTTAAATCATAAGAACAGAAACTGAGACATGAGACACAAATTGAAGTAACAAGACGGAAATTAATACAACTGATCATCCCGCTGTTCAATTTTTGTTCTGATCAGGCCTAGGGACGTGTCACAATCACGAGTAACCGAGTGAGGCCCGGGGAAGTTACTCAAGTGCCACTCTCGCTAGGAGCAGTCCTCTAGACTTTCAATTTCCCGTCCAAAAAAAGTATTCTTTAATTTAATGGTCCAATTTTGGTTCTGATCAGTGACTTTCAGCGTCCACTAAATTGCTTTCTGTTGTGTTCTTAATTCTTAAATCCTCTTCGGCCAGTCCTCTTTCATTTTTTGCCCAGGGAAAGGTTTTAGGACACGACAGTTTTAAAAAAGGTTTGGTTGTTCCCCAAAGATTAAGGGATACATTTAGCGGTCTGGCGATTTCAGACCTACTGAATTATCCAAAAACGGGTAGTCTAGCCAAAAATCACTTTTGGCTTCTGGCGACGCAAAAGAGAGATGTGTTGTAGGAACCTATCACAGGCAGCGAGTGTTTAACTTCTGTGAAGCAAAACTTTCGCTATCTTGCGGTGCAACACCCAAGCTACAACAATATATATTTTAACACTAAAAAATTATTGCTTTATGATTAAAATGATGTCCATATAACATAACCTAAGTTATAGAAAGTTTAAAAAATTGACACTACTCAACTGGTAACATTTCCATATCTACTCTTTTCAACAATGATGCAACTGAAAACGCATGTGCGACGCAAATAACGGCGGTGCGCACGACGGCAGTGCGCGCTAAAAATTCCTCGTCTATGATGGGGAAAGGGTTTGCAACTTGGGTATTTTCTAAGATCCGATATTTTGAATGCTCTACAGCATGATATTCCAATGGAGGCGCCCTAAACCTTGCCAGCCTAAAATGCGCTGTCTTTTTACAATAGACTGCTCTTTCTATCGGTTCAACACAGGATGTTGGAAGAACGAGAGAAAAGTTTGTTAATCACTCTTTCACTGCTCATAATCTACGAACATTTTGAGTGTTCTACCAACATATTGAGTAGTTTGTCACGCTAGTAAACGAATAGAAAGTGCAGTCTATTGCTTTTGTAACTAAAATTATGTGTTTATCGGTACAGTAAACTATTGATTTCCCACCAATCAGAGCGGTTTTTTTAAATACGAAAATAAGCGACTAAGCACTGAGAGAATACAGAGCAAGTTCTGTTGACCGGGCCTTGTGTGAGGAGGCATTAACTCTATTAACTCTATTGTTACGATACTTACTTGATACTTACTGAGACAGCATAGTTTTCAGTGTTTAGTTTGTTATTTCGAAAAAAACCTCAATGTCAGATGGAGTAAAATGACGACTTCCTGTGAAAAATCCACAGTTTACACCCGAATAACCCGTGGGGTTTTTGTACGTCTGGCCGCATTCAGTATAAGAGTCTTGATTGTTTACAGCGTCGTCATATATGATGATGTCATGTCCCCAACCAAAAATGGGTCCGTAGGAGGAACATCTGTACATTGCGTAATGCTGGTTTTGGTATTGTGTCAGCTTCACAGGATTGTATCCTTTGACGTTGTAAAGAGAGAAAACAAAAGCTTTGCTGGCTGAAGAAGAAGCACAGGGACCTAAAATGAAAAGATTTAGGAGCATTAGAAACTATGCCAATGAGAAAAAAATACATGATGATAACCATAAAAAAATTAATTTTTTTTATTTCCCGAACTAGAACCGAACACTTAAATTTGTCAGAGAAAATTTCAAAGAACTCGAGAGCATATTTTCACTTTTCAAAAAAAGCACTCGAGATATGGTCCGAAGTGTTGTTCAAAGGCAACATATGATCTAAAGAGAGCATTAATTAAACATCCTTCGTTTCAGCTCTCCAATATGAATAATGGATACAGCGAAACACGGGGAAATGACACGAAATGGAGCTGTCAGAATCAAATCAAATCAAAAGCAAACTCTGATCAAAAATCAAATCCGAAACAAGACTTTGAGTTAAAACCCGTTTCAAACGCGTTTTAAGGCTATTTACGAGTTAATCTACTTTGGGATCGCAATTGTTAATGTGATATTTTCTGTTTCTAAGATGAACTCACTGCTACTAGAAAAGTCCACAACTAATCGATTTGTTATCTGTTCTACATGTGAGAGATGTTTGCTTTATTTTTACTCACTGCTGGTCCAGGACACGTCAGTGTATCCACCAAAGATATAACTGTTAACTTTGATGATGGTCACTGTGGGTCCCCTTCCATCGCAGTTACTGTGGAATGTCGATGCTGCCCAACCGTCAGTCTCTGCGTGCCAACACCTCACAAACCTGCTACGCTCTTTATTGATAAGGACTGGGTCCAAATACGAAAACAGCACCTTCAAGTACTGGTTGTAATCAAGACTTCGAAGTATGGCGGACAAACCAAGGCCTGAGGTGGGAAAAGAAAAGGAAAAAATTACAGTTGGCCAAATAAATGTAACAAGAGCTTTGATTGGTTGTGATGCCTTTGAATCTAAGGTGGATAATTTCATCACCCTTCGTTTGGCTCGCTAGATAATCTTACATTACTGATCCGGCAAGCTAGAAAATTCCCAGCCCGTCTACCAGGCGGCATTTTAGGCGGCAGAGAGAATGACGTTTGTTTTAAAGTTCACAAAGCAATAAGGTGGACAATCAGACATGGTTTGATGCTACTATGGTTTAAAGATTTAATGAATGTAACCGAAAAGTTACAATTCATAGACCCAACGTTTCAACACTCCTGTCTAGTGTCTTCATCATCATCCCTGATGAATGCACTAGACAGGAGCGTCGAAAGATTGGGTCTGTGAATTGTAACGTCTCGGTTACATTCATTAAAATCTTTGAGCCAGAGTAGCATCAAAACATGTCTGAAATGTTTTTGTTAACTCAGCCGTTCTTTCAAGTGGCCCAAACAATTTCGTTTAATGTAATACCCACAAACCCCCGCGGCAACTCAGACAAGACGTTGCGTGACGAACTTAAATAAATACTACAAAAGGACTTTATAAGCCTACACATACCCTCATAAAATGACAAAAAAGTAGGCTTTCCGTAATCTAGCAACACAACTTTCTGAGAATATTTCTACAATACGCGATTTGATTTTCTACAGGCCCTACAAAGTATTTATCCTCGGAAAGGGGTGTTTTTCTTGATTACCTGCTTCATAGAATACTTCGACATCCGTTGGAGAGAAATGAGACCCCCCTGTAAAAAAATCCACAGTCACCAGTTGAGTACCCTGAGGGTTTCGTGTACGTACAACCGCATCTAGTGTAGGAGTTCTGGTTGTTTCCAGAGTCGTCGGATATGTAGATATCATGACCACACCCAACCCCAAAGGTGGGTCCATGCGTGTTACATCTGTACATTGCATATTGCTGATTTCGGTATTGTGTCAACTTTACGGGATTGTATCCTTTAACGTTATAGAGAGAGAAGATGAAAGCTTTACTGGCGTAGGAATGACCTGCACAAGAACCAGCTGAAATAGAAGAACAATGTAGTCGTACATTAAAAAGCTGAAAGAAAACATAAACCCCCTGTGGAGGGAGAGGGGTGGGGAGTTTATTTTCCACCATGAGCAAGACGAAGAGTTTTTTCTCAGACTAGAGATTTGTGAAGGGGAGGAAGATATTTTATTAGTTTGGGTATAGAAACGAGTACCAAAAACAATTATGGAAGATTTTAGGGGTTACTTTGGAGAAAAGCGAGTAAATATTTTTGAGACTTGAAGCAAATGTTTTAGGATGTAATGTTGTTCTGCAGGTGTATCACATAGAAAACATTTCTATAGACGACACTGGTGTGAAGAAATCTTGATGGCCAAAACACTAATATGAAAAAATAAAGGCTTAGAGCTAGTATCAAAGGAGCATCGTTTAATATTTCCACCAGCACCCTCTCCACCCTCCCCCCCTTAAATCCTTAAAGGACGGAGAGGAAGGATAGTTGATCCTATATAATTGTCTTGTCCCTTCTTAAAAAATTTGATATGCCTGCCTCCGCTCCAGGACACATCAGTATATCCACCAAATATGGAATCGTTCATTTTGATGATTGTCACTGTGGGTCCCCTCCCATCGCAGTTGCTGTGGAATTTCGATGCCGCCCAGCCGTCAGTCTTAGCATGCCAACACTTAATAAAGTCAGTACGGGATGCACTGGGAAGAACTGGGTCTAAAAATGAAATCATCTTTCCCAAGTATTCATTGGGGTCCAGGCCTTCAAGTATAGTAGATGCACCAAGGCCACCTATGTGCGTAAAAGAAACTTGAATGTAAATTTCCATCACAGACGTTCTAGAATAAAGAAAGATGTTATTCGTCTTTCACAACCGTGAAAGTATTTCAAAATAATTAGAGCCCCAGATCTTCTTATTCACAGAACGAGGTGCTAACCATGTGATCCCATTTAAACTTAAATATTTCCTTGTACATTTATTTTGTAAACACATCAACTAAATTTCACGAGAACACATTTTTCTTAAGTGGGTGTAAAACTGGGAAACCAAAAGCAAAAACCAAAAGTTCAGTTTAGCTAGGTTAAACTGTCTGCTTTAGCCCGACTTAGCGATTCAATTTCATGGCAAAACATGGCATCTAGATCAATTTTTTCCCTAATTTAGTCGATGAGCACTGATATCCCTGAACTGAGATACAATTCACTTAGCACTGCCGCCACCATAACCTGAATAGTATTTCGCTGCTGTATATGATCAGCGCATGCAACGTTTTAGAATCTTTACGACAGGGTTTTAAGTGTTTCTGAACGTTTCGCCAATGTCGGATTAAAACGAAATGTTTATGTGAATATTTTTGTTCCCATATTCAGTATATTGACCGTCGTTAAGTTCTACTAATCATTGTTGTTATCGACCATCCTACAATTCCTTTGAGGTCTTTCAAAACTTAAAAACCAGACGAAAACATAGTGACCGTGGGATGATCTTTCAAAACGAAAATGGGATGATCTACGAAGGAGTGGTCAAGTGTAAGTTAATAAAGGTGGGTACGGCTGCAGCCAATTTTGAAGCTTCTATAAGCTCGCTGTGGCGGTTAACCAACCCTTATGAGAGTCTTATTAGCGTGAGCAACTTGCAGGGTTATAGTGGAGCCGTATAGAAACATTACCACGCACCAAGAGGTCCTAAAGGGGGAAGAGAAGAGGGGCTTCTGATATAGGTACTGAGATACGTCAATCAGTCTTATACCAGGTGTGACTTGGTATATGGCGTTTTTCTCGCGCCTCGCGCAGCTTTTGTTCTGGTTCTTTGACTGGTCCGTTTTAATGACCTTGGTTTTGGCTTTGGGACGCTTATTAAGTGCAGTTTAGAAAGAAAATATATTTAGATCCTAAATTTATCAAATGTTACTGTATGATACAAAAGTGATATAAATTTTATTATTCAAAAACGTACTCACCGCTTTGTCCCCAGGACACATCAGTATATCCACCAAATATGGAATCGTTCGCTTTGATGATTGTTACTGTGGGTCCCCTCCCATCACAGTTGCTGTGGAATGTCGATGCCGCCCAGCCTTCTGTCTTAGCATGCCAACACTTCACAAACCTGCTCCACTCTGAACTCAGGAGGACTGGCTCTAGGTAGGAAAGTAGCTTACCTGTGTAGTTGGTGTAGTCGAGGCTGGTAAGAATAACGGAATTATTAAGGCCACCTATACGAAAAACCGAAAAAGAGAGAAAAGGTAAGGATTGCCCTACCGACCGTTTTCACGTTATGTTGCATTCGTCATCCTGGTGGTGGTAATGTCTACATTTCGCTTTTTCATCTTTACGAATTACAGCGTGACAACCGTTGTGTGACGCACATCAATCTGAGGCACAACGTGTATTTCCAACCCCGTGTGAACTAGAGGTACACTTATGGAAACGTTGTCTCCCTTTCAGACGTGTTAACACAATGAAAGCGTGTTTGTGTGACATTTCAGATTTCTAAACCCAGTACACGTTATTATATCTCGCCTCGTTGTTTGCGCCAATCAATGCTTTCTTAGAATTAAAGGAAACCACGAGATAAAAACATGATGATAATGAAAAAAAAAATAATTAAGGTTGATCAAGTCAGAAAGTTCGACATAGTTGTGAGAAGCAGACTTCAAAGATCAATGATTCTGTTATTTTTTAAGCGGGGGGGGGAGGGTAAGTAAGGCGCTAAGCGAGATGTATTCTTCAATTCAACCCTTTAACCCCTAAGAGGGATTGGCTTTTATTTCCTCCTTACCCTATTACAGCCGAACAAAATCATGATCAACAGGATCATAAGAATAAAGGACGAATTCCATCTTGGTCCCGTATCAGGACCGACTCTTGTTAAAAAAGTATATATATTCGAGATCTAATTTCCAAAGGATTATAAGCTTCACATAACGATAAGGAAAGATAGAGAATGCGAAATGCGAGTATCAAAACAAACTAATCGCTCATGCCTCAACGTTAGTTAAACTCACGAAAAAGCAGCTGGTACCGAAGGAAGTGCTGTCCGACCTTATTAACAGGTGGTAAGGATCTTATTTACTATTTACTATTTACTTATGTACTATTATCCTGTTGTTGTACCTGCCTATTGAGGAATTACCAAAGAGAATAATGGCTACTAAAATTAATCGCATTTTGAAACTTTCAATTAGTCAAAAAAATTCACGTTAACATTTCTGCAGCTTTTTTGACTATGGAAAAAGTTCTGAGTGATTCGGCTGATCAAGATAGAAAGTTCGACATAGTTGTAAGCAACAAACTGTAAAGATCAATGAAACTGTTTCTTTTTTGAGGAGGGGGTGGGGGGTGGTCAGTTAGGCGCCAAGTGAGACGTATTCTTCAACCCTTTAACCCCCAAGAAGGATTGGCATTTAATTTATCCTTACCGTCTTACTGCCGAACCAAACATCAGATTTATGGGAATAAAGGAAATAATCATCAAGTTATAAAGCTGTTGATTGTCAAACAAATTCCCTTGGCAGCACCACACGGTACGCATAGAGAACAGCGAGGAGAATATCTGTACTGGTGCTAGGGAGTAAGGAGTCATAATGCAGCCCGTTTTCAGGACGAATTTCATCTTGGTCTCGATTAAGGACCGACTCATGTTAAAAATATATTTCCAAAATTGTAAGCTTCATATGACGATACAGAAAGATAGAGAATGCGAAATACGAGTATCATAACAAACTGAGGTCACTCGTATCTCAATGTTAGTAAATTAAAACTCACGAAAATAGCAGCTTGTTCCGTTTCCTTGGTACCAGGAATTGCAGGTGCATCGATAGGAACCAACGGTATTGTTGCAGTAGGCATTGACGTCACAGTCATGCGATTTATTTCGTCGACATCTGAGAGAATGCATAAAAAACTAAATGGCTTGAACTCAAGAGTAAGAGTCGATCGAAAATGACGGTTATTGGCGAAAGCGTCTCGCCGTATAATCAATTGAACGTGACATGCATGGTGAGGGGTATAATTCCAATCTTTTATTAAAGCAATTTTTTTTCAATCGAGTGTCCAGATTAAACCGGGATTGTTTTGGTTTTGCTTTTTCTAAAATGACTTGCTTCAGGCAATAGTAAAAGTCATTTCACTAACTTACCGACACATTTTTTTCCGTTTCCAGTAAAACCAGCTTTGCACGAGCAACTGTGAGAACCGATGGTGTTCGTGCACTCGGCGTTGGCGTCACACACGGGAATTGTTGAATTACACTCGTCCACGTCTGAAAAAACCAAATAGTTTGTGGTCGGTTTAAAAGGAAAAAAATAGGCACTTGTTGAAGTATTACTCATTCATGGATTCATCAGACCAATTGCTTCCGGCGGGAGCCAAAATTTTACTCTGTACGACCCCATCAGGAAGTAAAATTTCCCCTTCCCTATTCGTTAAATTTCGTCACTATAAAGTTGTAATAACAATTTGCCATTGAATTATTATCTCTGTGTCAAAAAAGAAATTTTTCAATTCTATTTGACCTGTTCTCAAATCGATCAGTTTAAGAGAGATTATAGCATTCCTTCATAGCTTTGTTTCCGTCAGATATCTTACTATTTTTATTTTGTTTTGCTTTATTTTCTCATTTCCCCCTATGAATATTGGGGTGGGAGAGGGGGGTTAGGGGGTTGCAGTCTACCCATAACATCTCTGTCAACGCTTTTGCTCGTGGTAAATCGATTTTTGTCTGTAGAAGATGTGAATTGATGAACACTTAAATTCACCTTCGGTTTTCATGTCACAAGGAGCCAGAACAGTCCTCTCGGGTACAATCGAGTGAAACCAGTATTTTCCGCTGACCGCTTGTCCTCCTTCGCTCATTTTGATTTCCTGGCAAGTCTCCGCAGGCAGCTCAGGAATGGAACCGAGAAGAACTGGAAGAAAAGAACAATTATTACCATGGCACTCCAAGTAAGCAAGATTTCATGTTCGTCTTGGGAACGAAGACACTCATATTGAGGGCGACTTGACTTAAGGCAATAAGGGAGGTGAAATTAAATTTATAAAATTCCCTAGAAAATTTGGGTTGAAATTTTGTATTCTGAAAATGTCTTTATAGGGAAGAAGACAGTCAAAAATGTACAAACCTCTTTTGTAATCTCGCTTAAAGTAAAATCTCTCAGGGTTCGGAACATAATCCTCTGGTCTGGCCTCCTTGGTTCGGTTGCTCAGCTCACAAATGTCTTGCGTAAAGACATAGTTGAAACTTTGACATCTGACGTCAGCATAGCATCCCCGCAAGCACACATCTGAAAGACCAGCCCCCGTGATCCTCTTGAAGATGTGGCGTTGTAGCATCATCCCAAATTTGGAAACTTCCGGCTGGCCCGTAGCCTCCCATTGCTGTGCAGCTGTACAGCATAACAGCACGGTTTTGATCAACAGCCCTACTGCGTACAAGACCTTTTTGGCCATTTCCTCTCGGGGCATGATGTGGGAAAAAATGTCCCCTGAAAAGAAAAAGGCAAACAATCTTCTGGGCTAAAACTTACCCTAAACTTCTTTTTAATCCGTAGACTGGTTTTCGTGATTTCATGATCAACATGCATGCTTCTATGTTTTTAATTTGACTTTACTTTCATTTTTTTATTTTTTAAGGATTACAAGCACAGAAAAGTCATACATATTTATCAAACTGGACCTCAAATTTAAGGAAAAGGGATGTTTGTTAAATGCCAAAACGTATTTAGTCATTCGATATTTGCGGTTTTTAACCATCAGCTTGATTTGCATTGTGGTTAGGAAATGCAATATGAAATGAATAATGGAGAAAGACTGGTTAGAGCTGTATCAGTTAGGATTGTTCGTAAGGAGCTGTTAATGAGTTAGAATTTGGAGTTTGTCCGTTATCGAGCAGTCACTTGAACAGCGATCGAAAACCGATTATTGGCGACTGGAGGTCGTAATACGAAGTCGAAATTCTACTTTTGAGCGAACACTCCTTCGAGTAAGGATTTTGAGTTGGACTTCGAGCTGGATTTTCGAGTTGAAGTTTCCAGTAGGGCAAGGTATAGAACTTGAAAAGATGCCGAAATAGTTCTTTTAATTTTTGCGGGCTACAAAATTATTTGCGGTCCTGCATGACATAATTCCACATGTTAGTAAGGTCCATACGCTTTGTTTTGTTTAAGAAGTGTACTAATCAATTATTCAAGACTCGGACTCCTTGTTAGTCTCTTACTTGTTTTTGAAAACTTTTACGATCCTTCCGGCAAAAATTCGTTTTATTTCTGATACTCACTCAATTATACCGGCCGGAGTTAGTAAACTTTTCAAGTTAAAAAGTTAAGTACCCAGTGAGAAAACCTAATATAAACTGCACCCAATGAGGAATTTTTCCGCAAAACTTAACTTACAGAATTTAGCATAGCGTATGAAAAATTTTCAGCTGTTCGACTTGGACTGTTTAATTAAAGTTTTGTTGAAAATGACACTTTTCAATTGATCGTTGGCTTGCCAATAAAGAGATCCATTATCTAACAAATCCCTTTTAAAATATTTATCAAAAGGAAGTGTGAGGTATAGAATTTCAAATTTGCCTGCATCCTTAAGCCTGGCTCTTTCTCCAACACTGATGATGAGAGATCTTTTTTATTCAACGACCAAGCTGAAACTTCATCACTCAGCAGAGTGACCAAGACAGAATTACTCCTTACAATATCAGTACAATGTCAAGCAGACAAGTAATGAGAATAAAGAGAAATATGAATTGAGGGAATATTAGTTGTTAGTGACCCAATACCAAATTCTCCAAACTAGCATCATAAGAACTGCATGGTAAACAGTGAGTGGAATTACAAATGTGCAGACGAGTTGGACGGGACGATTGTGAAATACGCCGCTGATTTATATGTACTACCTAACCCACAAGTTGCAGCTCTGAGGTTCATTTGTTAGGCCGTGAGGCCAGTAAAATTTAGAAAATGCATCGTTGTTAGGGAGTTCCGTTTTAATTCAAGCTAGTGTCGACAAGTGACAACGAAGGCTTTTGAAAACAGTGACAAAAATGCGCCTCTTCTCGTCGCTTGTATTAGCCTTTTTGGGTGTGTTAGTGCGAATGATACGTTTTCAAGTGTAAACACCGAATTGTAGACAGTTGAGTGGAATGTGAAAACGCTGGTGTCCTTGGGTGAAAATGGTGTACTTCATATTCCAAACGGAATACGGACAATTTCCAAACTGCATTATTAAACAAAAATATTAATGAAATGAAAAAAATTGTAGTCGGAGCTTGTCAGGGACTGGTTCAAGTGTCTGAGGCTGGAATCTTCGGACGAATAAGGATATATTTCACAATTGAGTCAGATTTCTAACACGATCGTTTTATTCTATCTTCACCCAATGATCTCCGCGATATTTGTAAGAAGCTGAAGAGTGCTTGCATGTAAACTTGGCATAAGACAGGAGCTTGCCAGTTTCTGAAAGATTTTTTTTACGCCGCTGCATCGTCGAGCAAAAGGAAAAACTTGGTTAATAATCAACCATGAGTTTGTAAAGGAAGCGAAAACCACCGCAGCGAGGTTTTAAAAACCGAACTCAAAGTTTTGAGTATAGTCGCTTCGTGGGAGCGATACAATGCTTAGTTTATCAATTAACGAGCTCTTTTTCAGAATATGCTGGGATTTGAGTCCTTGCAGTAGCTTTCCAGCACTTGTTAAACGAATTTCACATCTTTCTTCACGTTTTAACTTTTCTCGCAAAAATATTCAAGGTTTGGCGAAGGTGGGAGACATAGGTGGAAATAAAAAATAATAAAAAAAAAATAAAAAAAAAAATGAAAGAGATCGCTGCCTTCGTAAGAACTCTCCTGACTAAGCCAATATCTCTTCCATCCTATTTTACTCTATTACCACAGCAATTAAGCCTCTTGTTGCCAGAAAAAAACTCGTCCAGTTTATTGACATAAGTTCTGGGTTTCATCGAGACACCGACAGTTTTCATTTTCCTTTTTTTTTTTCTTTAGCAGAAAGTACCTTTGCGTAGCCATGCCATTCTGACATAGCTCTATCTGTAAACGAAATACTCTACAACTAAGTTTAAACCCACATTTGCGTGGGGACATCGAGGTTTTGCTTTTTGAACACATTCATTAAGAATTTTAAGTTATCATTGCATGTAACTGGGGTTACAAAAAGGATTGCAAGAAAAAGCTAAATACCGTGTAAGAAAACCTATTATAAACGTTAACTGCCATAAATAAGAAATTTTCCGCAAAACTCAACTTAAAGAATTTTGCATAGTGCTTGAAAAATTTTCAGCTGCTCGAGTTGGACAGTATGAAGTTTTGTTAAAAATAATACTTTCCAATTTGATTGTTGGCTTGCCAACAAAGTGAGCCAATATCTAACAAATTCTTTTTGAAACATTTATTTTAAAAAAGTGCGAGGTATGGGATTTCAACTTTGTGTGCTTCTTTAACCCGGCTCTTTCTCCATTACTGATGACAAGAGATCTTTCTTATGCAACGACCAAGCTGAAATTTTACATCTTACTCAGGTCCATACCCTTTGCTTCGTTTAAGAATTGTTTAAACTAATCAATTATTCAATAGTCGGACTCCTTGTTAGTCTCCTACTTGTTTTTGAAAACTTTTGCGATCCTCCCGGCAAAAACTCGTTTCACTGATTTCTCTAACCCTAAGCAGTCATAACGGCCGGAGTTACTAAACTTTTCAAGTTGCAAAGTGGGGACATCAAGATATTTCCTTTTGAACACATTTATTAAGAATTTTCAAGTTATCAGTCCATGCAACTGGAGTTACAAAACAGATTGAGATAAGTTGAGTACCGAATGACAAAACAAATGTAAACAGCGAAATGTAGACAGTAGAGTGGATTGTGAAAACGCTAGTGTCCTTGGGTGGAAAAGGTATGCTTCATTTACCAAACAAAATACGGACAGTTTTCAAACTGCATTATTGAACAAAAATATTAATAAAATATGGAAAAGTGTAGTCGGAGCCTTTCAGGGACTGCTTTAAGTGTCTGAGGCTGGAATCCTCGCAGGGAATCAGGATATGTTTCACACTTGAGTTAGATTTCTAACACGACCGTTTTATTCTATCTTCACCCAAATGATCTCCGCAATATTTGTAGGAAGCTGAAGAGCACTTGCATGTAAACTTGGCGAAAGACAGGAGCTTGCCAGTTTCTGAAAGATCCTTTTACGCTACTGCATCGTCGAGCAAAAGGAAAAACTTGGTTGATAATCAACCATGAGTTTATAAAGGAAGCAAAAATACCACAGCTAAGTTTGAAAATCTGAAGTTTCGAGGCGCTTTTTTGGGAGTAATACAATGCTTAGTTTATCAATCAACGACCTCTTTTTCACAATATGCTGGGATTTGAGTCCTTGCAGAAGCTTTCCAGCATTCGTGAAACGAATTTCAGATCTTTCTTCGCGTTTTAAATTTTTCAAAAAAATATTTAAGGTTTGGCAAGGGCGGGAGACACGGATGGAAGTGAAAAATAAATGATAATAAAATAAAAAAAAATAGAAGAGACCGCTGCCTTCGTAGGAACTCTCCCGACAAAGCCAATATGTTCTCCATCCTATTTTACTCTATTACCACAGCAATTAAGCCTCTTGTTGCCAGAAAAAAACTCGTCCAGTTTTTTGACATAAATTCTCGGTTTCATCGAGACACCGACAGTTTTCATTTTCCTTTTTTTTTTCTTTACCAGAAAGTACCTTTGCGTAGCCATGCCATTCTGACATAGCTCTATCTGTAAACGAAGTACTCTACAACTGAGCCCAAACAAATAATTTCCTACCGTTTTCTCCGAAAATGTTTCTTTGCTGGCGACTCTTGTCTGTATGTTAGCGCAGCTCTTGCAATTGATACCGACGCAGGTGCTGTCCGACCTTATACGATGATACGTTTTCAAATGTAAACAGCGAAATGTAGCTTCAAATCTTCCTTGCGAACCACACACGTCAAGACTGATGGAAAATTAATTAAATTTTTTGAACTTCCGATATTTCTGTTTTGTTTTGTTTGGTTTTGTTCTTGTCGTGTTACTGACGTCTTCAATGTGCGTAAGTTATTAGGAAGAAGGCTAAAAAGAAATTTGTTTGCAATTTTTATATTCCCAGGCATGTAAAACAAGGTTCATGGCTGGAAAAAGTTTTTAATGTTAGATTCAGGGGTGATATTGTAAGGAGAAATTAGATTCTAGTCACTCCTAGAAGTCAAAGGGTTGATATATTTTCTTTCTCTCTCCTGACAAGCGTGTAACAATTTTTTCATTCGACAAAAGAGCGCAAGCATGCGCAGTAGTAACATGACTCATCGTAATGTTGTCTCTGTTAATAAACAAATTTCTTGAACATGGTATGGATTATTGTAAAGTTGCTTATTTCGTAAAATACTTGGATGTCAGTCAGAGTAAAACAAAGTTCTGCTGTGAAAAATA